GGTCTAAAGCTTTCTTGACCTACTGTCTCTTGATGTTTCACTCCATCAAAACATGATGTATACTTAGCAATTCATGACACAAACTCATTTTCTTGACAACAGAGTTAAAAGAATTACCTAGTTTAAGGAACGAAGCCTATTCACCATGGGGAGAATACTTTATAGCTAGAGAATTGAATCAGTATGCAGTCCCTTTTCCCACAGACATAACCAGGTGAGAAAGACAATGTGCCTAAGAATAATAATTTTTACAACTCTAACAACAATTACAGACCCAGAATGACCTTCCCACAGTTACTGTCACTGCTTACAGAGTGTATAAAGCTATACCGATGCTCAAATGTAATTTTGCTGTGGCTGCAGAAAACAGTCACAACACTCTGTAACTGCAATGTTAGTATTTTAGTCTAAATACAACTGATTAGTTGCTTTGCAGTTTCTGAAGGCCTGCAAGACTACTCAAGGGCTGCTGCTAAATGCTACTTTGAAAAGGAGGTAGCTCGATGCAGATTTCTTTGGTATGATTAATGAAATCAGCAAAATATCAGAGTGCAATAGAAACAGTAACACATTTAACCTCAATCACGAATCATACCTGTCTATAATCAAACAGAGACTTCATAATGATCACTGAAGCACAGATTTGGTAAAATATGAACTATCTATTTGTTTCTGAATGTAAATGGCCTTAAGAATATTTTTAAATTACTTGTGAATTGACCTGAGAGCACACCATCAAGGAGTAAAACACAGTTTGCAACATTCTTTATCAAGTAGGTGGTTGTATTTTTTCCTTTTATATATTGCATTTTAGATTTGCTTTTACTTACTACACAATTTATTTTCACAGGTGTCTCCTTTTGCACAATTACTGCATGATTTTCCTTCTATATATGGTCGTCTTGGAGAATTAGGACTACAAAGGAGAAATAAAGGTTTCATACGTAATTTTAAATTGTTACATTTTTTTAAATCATTTGTTGAAGTAAAGACACTGAAAATACAATGAATTCCTGAAAATTCATTAAAAACCCAAGAATAGTTTTGAAATCTTTCATTTAGTTTTCATTGTTCTGTCCCTGTGAAAGAAAAGTCTTAAAAAGCTATTATTTTTCTTATGGGAAAATACTGTGGCTTTTTATTCAAATTTTACATGAATATATGAACTAGTAAACCAGAATGTTCTGGATGGAGCTTGGTTTTAACTGAGGAAAAATGAGGATTTTAGAGTGGAAAATTTTAAAGCTGACACACTCCCAAATGAAACAAACTACTTAGCAAAAAAAAAGAAATCTCGTGAGCTACTTACTGTTGAATTACAACCTTGAAAAACAAGACCTTCACTCCACAAAACGCAAATATCTAAGAGTAAGTATGCAGTCTTAGTGAAGACACTGGGATCCTTACATGCTTAAGAACCTCATCTAAGTGGAGAAGGAGTGTTTAAGTACAAAGATCAGCCTGCGGTACTTACCACTGCACAGTCTCAGAAAGGCTCCTTATACACATAACTGCTGGAAATGACAAATGCAGGTACCATCATCCTGGCTGCCTATACTATACTACCAGGTAACGGAAAACATGTTATCCAGCCTATGCTGCATCCATGCAAACAGATGAAGCAATGCTATGTTTTACAGCCTAATCCTGGGGACACAGGAGCAGATTTAGTCCCCTGTGGGCTATTAGTTTTGTTTGTCACTCTACTCACCTCAGTAGTGGCACTACACAGGAGCAGATTTAGTCCCCTGTGGGCTATTTTGTTTGTCACTCTACTCACCTCAATAGTGGCACCGTGGGGATTTTTCCTCAAAGGAGATAATTTGCACCAAGGCCTGTGGTAATTTTTTCAGGATTCTAAGTCTATTTACACCCTATATCGTCATAGAATCTTAGAATGCTTTGGGTTGGAAGGGACCCCTAGAGGTCATCTAGCCCAACCCCCCTGCAGTGAGCAGGTACATCCTTAACAAGATCAGGTTGCTCACAGCCCCATCCAACCTGGCCTTGAATGTTTCCAGGGATGGGGCTCTGGGCAACCCATTCCAGTGTTTCACCACCCTCACTTTAAAGAATTTCTTCCTTATATCCAGTCTAAATCTATCCTGTTTTAGTTTAAAACCATTACCATCTTCTGTATTTATGAACAAGAGCTACATGCCAGCCGTACAGATGTAAGAGTTGGTATAATGTTGTTGTAGAAGATGGAGGAAGAACACAACAGATTACCTGCAACTTACGTGCTACTATTCTTCTTTCAAATGTCTTTCATATACATTCACATGCAGATATACTGTTGGCCTGAGTTTTATCCCAGCAGCACCTACAGTGGCATATTGCAACAACATGCCCAGACATGCAATCCAGGCAGTAATAAAATAGAAGGGGGATCTTCTGATCCCAAGAATCAAACGTAAGCTTTGAATTTGTCAGAGAAGAACAGGAAAGAGAGTTGTGAATATACACATGCATATATAAAATCTCAAACTTAAAAAGTTACAGGTTAAGTAACATATCTTTTGGGTTTTTTGTCCATATGTACTTTCACAGCACGGGTGATTCCAAACAGTAGCCCATATGGTTATCTTAAGAAGGGTCTCAGAATCCAGAATAAGAAAGTCTGAAGGACAAAGCATTGCTTCTAGAAGTTCTGCAAGAGCATAATGCCTCATAAAAGGGTGTGAAAGCAGACTCAGTTGGTGACTGTGCACATTTCAATTGCGGGAATGCAATACAAAGCAGGCACAGATGTTGCTTGAGCTGCAATTCAGCAAGTCTTTCTTGGTATCAAAGGCTTCCACTGTAAGTGATAATTACACTATTACTTCACACAGTTCATAATCCACTGTGAAATCCTCTTTGAGCAGACTTAGAACTCAGCCACAGATCCAGAGAGATGAAAGGCCTTGCCTTTTTCTCTGAGGGGCCCTATCTCGTCATTACAAATGAGTTAATCTATCTATCCATCTATCTACAGATTGGTTAACACTTAGGTTGTAGAGTGCTGCCTCACTGAGAAGGTGTAAAGAATGGGAAAAGAAGGCACAAATTAACTTCTGGAGAGAAGAAAAAAGTCACTCTCAACAAGGAACTTCGGATGGCTTCTGAAGACTATGTTACTTAAACAAAATAAAATACATGGGAGACTATCATATGGACTTTGATTTCACTTGTCTTGCTGGTTTAGGCCACAGAAACTAAAAGGTTGTCTCCACAAAAGATGACATTATTGTGTTTTATGTTTTGCTCCCATTACTACTGTTTCATTTGCTTCTGGCAGCTAGTGAGTATTGAGCTGACATTTTCCATGACTTTATAGATGACCATCTTTTCCCCCACGTATATCACTTCATATTTATTTACAGTGATTTTCATTTACCACTTTATTGATGAGTCACTGAGGTCCTCTAACATTGTAACTCCCACAGCTTCTTCAGGAGAAACTGAGTCCTAGAAATGGCAAATACAGCCACCTATTGGGGGCTGGACGTCACTTATCTTTCTAAAGAGATGGTGGAGACCTGGGAGGTCATATCCATGGAAAAGGTACAATAACAAAAAGGTAATGAGATGTTATTCATATTCCCAAAATCATAGAAGCATCACAGATTATCATTTTTTCTTACAACAGAAGAACTGAGAGGCATTGAGTGAAGTTGGGACAAGGAGGCAGTTTTTCCACATCTGTTGAAAGCCATGGTGCATCTCTTGTTCTGAGGATGCCATGATCTGCTGAACAGGAAAACAGGGATATCCTGTCCCTGCCAATATCTAGCACCTCAAGGAATCCTCTTTTGATGTGAAAAGGTGAAGTGACAGCATTTGGACTGGACTTAAAACTTGCAAAATACTGGTACTACCTGTGAGACAGACTGATAGGAATATGAAAGAAGGTCTCTTGCTGTTTAAAGACATTTTATTCTTTTTAACAGTGTTGGGATAACCTCAACCACTACAAATCCTAATCTGAAATTGTAAATACAGCTGTTTTAATTCTGTAAGATCAGAGTGTGTCACCATCAACTCATAACAGAAAGCAGTTATAAAGTCGTTGCGCTGAAATAAATGGAAACTTAAAGCTCCAAAACCAGGAGAGGGTTCCCCTTCTGCTAAAGTAGACTTCAGATAAAGGTTCCTAAAGAGCAGTAAAATAGAAGCACAAATAAGAGCAACAGTCTGAATTGAACTGAATTAAATCTTCTCAATGACATCTGCAGTCCATCTATCTGTGATGGTATTTGGTATTCCTAACCACCTTGTAATATAGTCATCCTGGTAATTTTGATATACAGTTTCCAAATGTGTGAGAGAAAATTGAGCATGAAGATGAAGACTTTCAGCTGGGATATCTGATTTCCATGCATCGAACTAGATTCCCTAGAAGCCAATGTATGATTAATCACTGTCTCCTCCTGTGAAAGACAAATGAAGTGAACAAACTTTAAACATGAAAAGAAAATAATTAGAAAAGGGTTTAGAATAGGAAGCAAAGCTGCCACATGCTAGTGTCTAACAAGGCATTTTAAGTGTCTCAACAGAGACTTCCTTCATAGTATAGAGTGGAAACTACGTGATTTCAAAATGACTCGAGCATTATAAATATGTGAATATTGATTAGTTTCAGAACAAGCTGGAACTCTCAAACAGAGGTCCTCTGGTAGGTCTCCATGGGGCTGGTGAGTGCAAACTCTACCTGGTACCTAAAAAACAATGCTACCATCCAACCTGCGACAACAGTGTTTCATTGGATCCACTGAATCCAGTTCAGATCGATAGCTTGCCTTCACCCAGCAGTGCTGTGAAGGCTCCAGAAACTGTCAGGTATCAGTAGTTTTCGGACATCATGTAAATGTCACAGCACCCTGTATTCACATAATGCATACAACACTTAGTAATTTAGTTGTTGCAACCAATACACTATCTATCTGGTAAAGTGATAAATCACCACAGTATCCAGCTAGTCTTTCCTTCGGGATTCACCAGGTTGTTTAACATGATTATCAGACATGAGACTTGAGATGCAAGAGAGCGTTCAGTTTTTCTAGTTTGGACTTTCTGCCTATGGTGTAGAAACTGAAGAGATAAAATAGAAAAAGAAACTAGGTAAATGAAAAAAAGACCCGAAGTAAAACAGTTGGGGAAGCTCTTTACGATGGCTGACAAAAATGACCAGTAAACTATGTGACATTCTGCTAGACCCTTTCAAGGGCATTCCTAAGATTCTGCTACCCTTCAAACAGAATGCTAAGGGCCATCTTGAGGCTCTTCTTAGAGTCAAAGGTTATTTGGACATAACAGATGAATATTCACCTACCAAGAGGAAGGTAGGTAGAAGAGATGAGAAGAACAGCATGATGAACAGAGCCTGGTATCAAGGATGTGGCAGCTAACTTTGGGTATGAGAATGATGACAGGACAGGGCATGTTCCAAAGTAGTGTACGCTTCTCTTTAAACAGGGGAAAGGAAACTGTAGGCATCTCAGACACGGATGGTCCCAGCAGCAGACCTTCAGAAAAGGTCTATAGAAGTACTATACTGTAAAACTGCTACACTGAATAAAGTAATTTTGGCAAGGTGGTCCTTAAACTGGTGCATCCTCAACTCTGAAAAGAAACTGCTATCTAGCAGGGTAACTGAGTACTAAGGGTCCAAACCTCAAGAAGGAGTCATGAAGGTCAAGTTGGAAAAGGCTGTTCCAGTATCTGGAGCATGGTGATGACTGGTGGCAAGGTTAAGGTTTACCTATTTTTCCAGGCAGTTTAGGAAGGGAAAAGGCTGTGAGAAGATGGTCTGTCTGCTCTAACTCCACTTGTTTCTGTTGTGACGTAGAGATCAGCGTTCTTGGTATCAAGCAGTGGATGGAAGAACAATGGCATGCTAGACCTCATCTTAGACAGCTGTTCAGCTTAGCTACCAGTTGTCCAGGATGTGCAGAACAGCACAGCAAACCAACATGGTATGCTGTTACAGATTAGAAAAGATTCAAGTGACAAGGATTTACAGATCACTCTTGATGTCTCTTAGTCATTATTCTGAACTGGTAACTGGAAATATTTTAGTTCACATTTTAAAAAGAAAACAACAAAGTTCCATATCCTAGCAAGCTGCAAAATAACAATTCAAGTACAAGTCCAGTTTTGGGGTACAGAGAGAGAGGTGGACAGGGCTCAATGAAATGTTTAGTTCAGGCAAACTGAACTCCCCAGTAGTGGCCCAGGTTTGCTAGAAGGAAAAAACAGTTGTCACACAGGCTCATGAGCTATGTATGTTTTAAAAATGACAGATCGCATAAACACATGCTTCACTATAGGCTGTGCATTATTATGAGACAAAATATATTATTTTAAAACTATCTGCCCCTGTGTTTTCAAACTCCTCCTGCTTTAGGGCAAGTGCTGTCTGGGGTCCATGTTTTTTCAGAATATCAATTTAAACGTAAAATCACATGTTGCAGTTAGCTTTTTCTTACATTGATCGTTTACTGTTTTCTAATGCTTGAAGAACATTTGGTATAATCATAGCTATTAAATGGGCAAGAAATGATAATGTAATTTTGTTTTACTCAGTTACACAGAAAGGAAAAGCAACTGAACTAACAACTGTGCTATTATTTCTATCATTTCTAAAGATTAAAAAAAAATACAGTGTAAAAAGCTAACATGCATTAGAAAAATGTACAAAACTGCAAGACGTAATTCCAGCTCTGATAGCAGTTGCCTGCAGCAACTTTGTCATTTCTTCTGTTTTATAGGAAAAAAAAAAAAATCAATGAAGTGGAGCATGAGCTAAGTTTGGGATTTGTTTGCTTAAGATTGGCACATAATGAGATTTATTAGTGCAGTTAACAGATTAAAAATCTCAGCAAGTACACCTTCTAATGCTCATGGCTCTCTTGGTAACTGAATTAGACAACCATAGTTTCCTCTGATTGCATTTACAAGACTACCAATAAATAAAGAACCCGATTTACTTTCAGCTAAATGTCATTACAATTGCTTTCATTTTTTTAACATTTAAACCAGCAACTTACCCTGGTGAATAGTTGCAAACAAAATTTGCTGCATTTTGTATTCCTGCAACTTCCTTACAAAGAGTAACAGCACAGCCGATTTTATACGAATAGTCCCAAACAACCTAAAAAAACACGGCATTGAAAGAAATTAAAAACAACACTCAACAGTTACCTAGTCTAATACCTAGAAAGCTTCTGTTATTTTCAAGGATCCTACACATTATTTTCATTTCACAACATCCTATCTGTTTATTTGTTTAGAAAAATTGCCGTTAAGTGAGCTTTTTACGATGAACTTCTAAATATTCACCCCTCAAGATGAAGTGACCTATGCTACAAATTTTCAGAATCTTCTAGAGAACAGTTTCAGTAAGAGTCACTGACTTTATGATCCAGGGGTAAATTCCAAGGAACAAAAAGGGAAATTAGTGGCAACTACCCAATAGCTCCTTTTTCAACATTCCTAACTCAGAAGCAAGAAGGGCTTCTCCTGTGTGCTAGAAGTGGTCTGGCTGATCACGACCGTAAACTTAAGTCTGAAAGCACTGCACATTTTCAGATTAATCAGTGTTATCTACCATGCTTAAGAGAAGATGGTTTACTACCAGTGTTTGAGCAACCTCTACTTTTTCTTGGAGATTCTTCCTACACTTTCTCGTATGACTAATCAAACTGTACTGAGTTCATGTTAAAATGCTTAACTATATACCTAGAACACCTGGATGATCCTGCATTCCACATCTGGAAAAATTGAAGATGTAGTGGATTACTCTCAGTATCTCCCCAGTATGAAGAGTACAGGCCTCAAACTGACAAACTTATTTGAACAGCCCCACAAGTTCCATCTCTTCAACTACAACTGCAAGTAGTGGTTATGTTCAGAAGACATAACCTTTCTTAGGAAAGGATCTTAGTGTTTAATGTGGTGTTACTCAAATCCTCGAATAAGGACTAAACATGTCAGGGACCTTTATGTAACAGTTTCACATGTTATTTTGGAAATTTCCACCACTTCGAGCTTTCTGTGCCGTGGTTCTCTTAGCAGGTCTACACAGCCCCATCCATTGATGATTTGTAAACCCTTTCCCTTTTGTAAATGATGATTTGTAAACCCCTTTCCAATTTTGTGGCTGAGCCTTCAAGACCATGATGGCTCCCGGATCATGCAGGGTGTTTGCTTATCAACTTTGAAGAAACACATACTTTTATATACTCATTGGTGTCAGCCCATGTACTCTGCTTGTTTTTTCCAGTGATTGGTTTCCTCTGTAATCCTGCCTGAAATGCATGGCCATTTTGACACAATTAACTACGTGTAACCAGAAAGAAGCAAGTAATCTTAAACAGGGGAAAGAAAGCTTAGAAGTGAACATCACTCCAAAAGAAATGTGCAAAACCCTCCAGAATTCTATGTAGACAAGGTTGAACAGCAAATTTTAAGATGCTAGGAACTACCTTGTTATATAACTTTTTGTAAGTTACTATGCCAGAGAAAAAATGAAAAATAGTTTCCTGAGATATTGTCTAGTTCTAATCTTCCAAAGATTTATTGCCCAATAAACAGCAAAACTTAAATCCTCTAGTCTTGCTTTTCAGTTTGTTACAGGCAGAACCAGGGGCAGGAAACGAGAACTAATACTTGGGGAGAAATAAGTGAGAAAAGATATAAAGAGAGGTGCAAAAAGTCCCAAACAGAAAACACTTTGTAAATGATTCTTGTAACTTGAAGTATTTTCAGTTCACAAGCCGAAACCACTCAAAAAGAACCTCACAGCTACTGTTGTATCTGGTAGCAGTGTCACTGTAAGTATACTGCATGGCATTTCCATCTGTAATTTGCACAGAGAGTGGTCTAAGCATCTTTGAATACAGAGATAAGAAATTAAGTCACTTTTACTAGATAAGATCTGACTTGACATTAAAATTATCTTCTGTTTTAGATCAGTGAAATGTTATGTTTGGTCATAGATGAAACTAATTTTACTGCAAAGCTTATTTTTTAAACATGGGGAAGAATAAATCCATTTAGAATAGTAAGTGTTCAAAGAAACGCTTTACTTTCTCATCGAATTAAGTATGTCAGAATTACCACTGAGAAATCTAAATATATTATAAATTGCCTCTTTTGTTGTCGATGCTCTTTTTTCCCCCTTCCTTTTTTACAAGATTTGTAAAGAATACATTTTACTTTGGCTGAATTTTCTCCTTCTGTTAAAGTTTCTACTAAGGAGTTCCCACAGACATTCTGCAATTACTGTGATTATTTCAAAGAGCATCTCCAAACTTACTTACAGAATTCAGTACTGGGTGGCTTTGCAGCTAGAGAACTTGAAATGACTATTTTATAAAGTTCATGTAGTACTGACACAATGAAACGAGGAGTGAGGCTTTCAGTGAGGTCAATGTTGTGGACAAGGAGAATGGATTACAAGACGAAGAGGTGAACCAGTGCAGGGGTAACCGGCACTACAGCCATCGCTTGAGATTGTAAAAGACTCAGTCTCTTCTAACTCACTACTAACCATATATACAACTCTATTATTTACAGCCCCTACTGATTCATCTGGCAGGCACTATACGGGACATTTTACTGAAGATAACTCTTACCTGAATGTAATGACCGCAAAGCTTAGTACACTTATGCACTGCGAAAGTATAGAATCTGCCCTCATTATACCATGATTTAATGGCATCAGCAACATAGAATGCTTGACGACTTCCAACCCAAATGTTCTCTCCAATCGATGTGAAATTAGGATGGCACTGATGTTTCTTATGTAAGTGTACATTATGTTCAAAAACACATTTATTTGCCCATGCCCTTGCAGTCCTTGCCAAAGCTGCATCCCAAGTCTGCAAAACATGAAAGGTGAAATAGTTGTGCAATGCTAAGTTACAACTGGATCTCAGTCAGATAAAACCAGTCAGGCAATAAAGCACAGGTAGATATCATAAGCTGAGGTTTCACAAAGAAATACTTTCCCTTATTTAGGCAAGTACCTGTGTTTTATTTTCATTGACTTTTCCTGTTGCAGCACAGAAATGTGAACTGATTTCATTAGACAAGTTTCCCCCACACACACTGTTGAATATTAACTTTGTAAGAGCACTTGCTAGCAGCTGAACAGATGTTTGAAATGCACTTTTATCTTCAGATAAGAAATTACTGTCACATTAATTAAACATGAAACTTTTTTTTAGTTTTTTTTTGTTGAACAGGGCATTAACAAATTCTAATTCAAAGTAAAAATGCTCAGCTACTGTAGCTTCAGATGTATAAATATTTTAAGTATTTTCAAGAGAGCCTCTGGAAACAAATACTTACTCCTCCTATGATAAAGCTTTAAATACACACCAGAGCATTTTACAAGGACAGCTTCATGAGGTGCACATGCCAATGTTTGGCCAGTAACTCAGCATTCTGCTACCTATTACTTCTTTGCAGTCTCTCACCGTTAACCCAACTTCTGATTCCTGAACATGACCTATCTTTGGTATTTGTCTTCCAGTCATGACTGTTTTTCAGCAAGTTTCTTCTATTATTAAAGTACCTAGGTTTATAGTAAAAGATGGCGTCTTTTACTACCTAGGTTTATTGGTGTTCATGCATTTCAGTTCACTCTTGGTCTCTATGTGGATTCTACAGCAACTCCACCAGCTGCTGTCCCAAATGGGTGACTTAGATCGCTTAAAGAATCATTGTCAAAGCTACTAGCAAAAGTGGTTTCAATATAACGTTGTACAGGTGCAACTTAACAACGTTCGATAGCAAGGTTCACTCTATTATGGTACGGCACAATCATTTGAACAATGATTCAAAACTACCAAGGCACAAATCAAAGTCACCAAGACAAGATCAAAGGTACCAAGTCTCAAATCAAAGTTACCATAAAGGGCTACGTGTGACATCGATCGCTTACCAAAGATCTGCCATTGCTAAAAGGTCACTCTGCCTCGAGGAACAACCTTGAGAGGCGTCCCAGCTCAAGGGGAGATAGCCACCGTGCAGCCAGCTGCTTAGCAGGAAGAGCTCAAAGGCGGCTCACTTAGGCTGTCATATTTATGGAATAAAGTGGTTGGCTTGTACTCAAATTACATTCGATGGGAAAGGTATGCATGAGATTCCTTGAACCCACAACTTTCTTTGTTCCTTGATAAATGAGTCTTGGAAAAGCCACCTGCTATTCATGTGTTAATTGCATGATCAGTGTTCCAAGCTCACATGCATCAATGCTCACTGTGTCACTCTGCTCCTTTGCGGGTTTTCAGAGAACAGATTGAAACTAGAGGAATTCTTGGCCCATTTGCAGCTTAGGCCTTTACCTTCTTTGGAGCCTGTACCAATCTACCACCAGTTTGGTTAAGGGATTGAGTGCATCCGTCACAGCTGCCGATATTATATTCTCCCTGGGGCCTTTAGTTTTTCCTAACCGTATTTCTACATGCTTACCATTATTCACTGGTTTTCCTGGTTTTCCTATTTGTGAGTAATAAAACTGAGTGCAGTATCTTTCACAAGCTTCTTCACTTCCACGGCTATCTGCCACCCTGGCTTCAAGTCCACTCAAGCAAACGGCATTCTTTGCCATCAGCATCCAAGTACGTGTGTGTTCCCAAGCCTTCCCCGGGGTACTCATCCTTTAGCTGCTCCTTGCTCACATTTTCCTCTTGTGACTAGACATCAAACATCCACTTTTTTGGCATCTACTTTGGTGTGTTTAACCCTTTCCAGGAAAAATTTTTGAGTGCAATTTGTTTTGGTTATGACAAACAAAGATTCTTCCTTGCCACCAGAAATCCCCTTCAGCCCCGCTATTACAGTTCATATCCTTGATTTTGATGGAGGGCCTAAACTCTTCTGGATCAGTCCTGCAGCTGGACCATTGCTTCCTCCTAAGGTGAAATTCCTTGGGGTGAAATGCGAATGTCTCCAGCTGCCCTGTGTCACTGCACGCCTGTTGTTCCTAGACTCACCTATCTACAGCTGACCCACCTCCCTACAACGTTTCCTATCAAATAAACGCGATGATACCTGAACACAAAGCAGTGACACCATCCCGGTCGCCCTGCCCAGGGATCACCAAGAGGCCCCTGGCCCACTGTCCCCCCACTTTCCCTGGCGGGGCGCCTACGGGCCTGTCCCTACCATGTACCGCATGTTGCTGGCGGCCGGCTGCACTTTGGCACGGAGGTCGTTGTGCACACGCACGCAGGCCTCCATGAAGGCCTTGTCCGTGATGCCCGGTAAGGCGGGCCACTG